ATTTGTCAGAGGAAAACAATCAAGAAAAGACCTAGTGGCGCCATCAATTAATAATAAAGAAAAGTTTCTATCAAAATGTCTGGCCATTACTAACAATATCTTCAAGCGGTATATTATAGTTCAAGCGTATAGTTCGATCTTAATTTATCCAAAATCATATCACGTATATAAATTAAAACATCGATATTTATTTCAAAACGTAGAATAAACAATCAACCATTCATCGTGATAAAAACAAGATATAAAAGTGTTACACTACTTTGAAATAATTAGTTATTTACTCGTTCATGTTCTTTCATTGAAGCATTAAAAAACATACAGCTTATGTAAAAAAAAAACTCACTAGAAAAAATATACATTAGATATCATTAAACATTTGCACAAAGTTCAATTTGTATAAATATTATGAAGCAAATTTAATAAACTTTAATTTTTTCATTTTATTTATTAAATAATTGGGATATCTGTAACATTTTCTCATTCAAGGGGATCAGTATTAGGATAAGAAGGTTCTAAGAGATGAGACATTTTATTACAGTATGCAAAATTAAATTCCTTTATTCATCAAAACTCGGTACGCAAGATTTCCATGTGCGAATAAATAAAATTAAAAACTCCTGTAATAGAATTTATTATAAAAAAATAATTAAATGGTCTAATACAACGCGAATGCAGAAATCACAATTGCAGAATCAGACATCTCCGCCCCTAAGTCGAAGTACAAGGTGAAGTGTCGATTCTTTCTGGATATTGTAATCGGACAAAGTCCGTCCGTCCTCGAGTTGCTTGCCCGCGAAAATTAACCTTTGTTGATCGGGAGGAATGCCCTCTTTGTCTTGAATCTTAGCCTTTACGTTCTCGATCGTGTCCGAAGCCTCGACCTCCAGTGTGATTGTTTTACCGGTGAGAGTTTTGACGAAAATCTGCATACCGCCGCGCAGCCTCAAGACCAAATGCAGGGTGGATTCTTTTTGAATGTTATAATCTGAAAGCGTGCGGCCGTCCTCGAGTTGCTTTCCGGCGAAGATCAACCTCTGCTGATCGGGAGGGATTCCTTCCTTGTCCTGAATTTTGGCCTTGAC